TATTTTTTTTTTTTTTTCAACTATAGTAGGTAACAAAAAAGATTTTTTACAAAGAAATTTGTCATATTTGACGCGCATTAAAAATGAACAACACTTATTGGATACGGTTCCTCTTGTTCGGTGACAAGATCTTGAGCATACTGACGACGGGAGCTTCGAAGGCGACGGATATTACGAACGAGAACATGTACGAAGCCACGACCTGGCCCAAGTACGTGATAAACTGGAGAAAGAGAAAAAAAAAATCATGGCGCTTAAAATACAACGTGCTCCCAAGTTTGCACAGCGTCCAATATCAATCGACGTATAAACTCACCATGCTGTCTTTTCCCAGATGAAACGGCGAGTCCATGTTCATAGCGGTCATCCTAATGATAATGGGGTGGACCAAGTAAGCGCAGTACGTGACTCGGCTGAACGGATAGAGCAAGGGTGCGGACAAAATCGAATTGACGAAGCCTAAGAAAATGCAATAACTCATCAGCTTGTATATATTTTATGATTCGCAAAATAAGCTACAAATAACTTGGAAATATAATATATCTCTTGTAAGCGATGCAAAACAGTACCTCCATAGCCGGTACTGCAGGCAATGACGATCCAAGCCAAGCTAAGGGCCCATACACTGTGGCTCAGCGACGAGTAGGCCGCACCGGCTGCCGGTGATAGTTCCGTCTCGTAGAGGCCAAACAGGAGACTCAACACGCAAGCCGTCGACAGGAGCCAGCCCAAGAAGACAGTCGCCTGAGAAACGATCGAAACATACGAACGCACCAATGAGTGGAAACATTTTTGCAATCCCGTCCTATTTGAGATTATTTTAGCAACGCATAATAAATGGAGATCAAATGTAATCACCGGGTCGGTACACCGGTGTAGGTACGTATTTTTGTTGTTTTCGCAATCGCTGATAATTAACAGGTGCATAGTAATAACACACGGCTATACTTTTACGGTACACTTGGATACTCTGCGTGCATTGACGAATTTTCCGTTTCTCTAAATAATTTTGATAATTAGCGCGTGCGTGACAACGTAACGTATAATATAACACACCGTTCGTTATTTTTTACAGAAGAAAAAAAAAATCGGTCATGCATAATACACTTGGGTAAATGGCGAAAGGACATCATGATTACATGAAAAACGTCACCTTGGACATGACGATTTTTCGATCAGTCTTGAAGAGAAAGTAGCCGACGGACATGCCGATGAGGTAAGGCCCGAGCCTCGTCCAGGGTTTGTCGTAAATCTTGTCGAAAAGCGCGAGCGGATCGTCGGTGTTGGGCATGTGGTTGTTGACGAGGGCTATGTATCCGGTGGTCAGCCAGGCGCTCAGCATCAGCACCACCATCGAAGCCGACGCTATTCTAAAGTGATTCGTCGCCACGATCAGTATCACCGCCCCAACTATGTAGAATTGCGTGTCGTCGGCCACGTACCAGCTCCACAGCATGCACTGCAATCACATGTACAACAAATGAGACTCATTATTTGTACAACCATCGAGAAATTGGGTTCTCCCCCCCCTTTTCCTTAAGAAACGTTTCACGCATCAGTTGATGATAAATCGTGTGTGCGACATGCGACTAACCATCTGATCGGCTGGAAAGAGGGTGTTGATGTAGAGGAGGTTCCTCCACCAGTACTTCCGGCAGTTCTCGTGGTCATTGGTGGGGGGCTCGAAGACCGAGTTCGAGTGGAAGTACTGCGACGTGACGGCCGTGATCCCGAGGACGTACATGTACGGCGCGGTGAGCCGGCAGAACCTGTAGGCCAAGAAGCCGAGGAACTTGAGGAAGCCCTCGACGAAGCCGCGGGTGCCCTGAGTCAGCCGGTTGAGGTCGCCCTTGGCGTTGGTCCGGAAGTAGAGGAAACTGACGAGGAGGCCGCCCATGAAGAAGAAGGTGTCGACGCTGAACGCGCCGTTCTGGATCGTTTGGAAGAGAAACTTCTTCTCCACGGCTTTCCGGTACTCCATGTTGTCCGCGTACTTGAACACGATGATGCACGTGTGCCCGAGGATCACCCAGCCCATGGATATGGCTCGCAAGCCGTGGACCGTGCTTATGGTGTCGCGGCCCACGTCCCGGTCGCAGATCACCGCCAGGTTCGCTCTCACCGAGAAGGACAACAGCAACTCCTGCCATGCGTCTGTCGCGGGTGGGACATTTTTTTTTTTTTTTTTCTTTCTTTTCTTATCATCGAAAGATTGTGACGCGGATGTACGATTTTTTCGTGATGGAAAAAGGCACTAACCCGCTAAAGTGAGTTTTCTGTCATATATATTTTACTTACAGCTCTCATCTTTGACTTGTACAATCAAGGTAAGCTTGTATTGAGTTACAAAGTACTTTAAAGAAAATAAAGGACGAAACAAATCCAGCCTCTCATCCTTGAGGTAGTGCCTTTTTTCAACTCACTACTCTGTGCAATTGCCACCAAAGTATCGGTATCACAAGAGAAGAGCTTATTTTCTGTTTTTTTTTTGTTTTTTTGTTTTTAAGGATGTTGTTACAATTACTTAATTTTTGCAGATCCGGCGTGTTGGAGCGTAGACTGCCCTCGTGGTCGTTGTTGTTGTTGACGGGTACCGTGGGAGGGACGATGACGGGCTCGGCCGCTGGAACAGGAATGTAGACCCTTATACCTTGAGGAGCTGTATGGTCGCAATCACGCGCGGATGAAAAGAAAAAACCGAGAGCGTCAAGTCACCGAGTGAGTTGTTATACTCTTGCACGTTGTCGCATCTTTTTTTTTTTTTTTTTTTTTCTCCATTGGCTTGTTAGTCCACAGTTAAATAGTATTGCTACGATTGTATTTACACAAAGTTTTGCTAAGAAACGTGTAGTTGAAGTATATTGGGAGAGACTTATCGTGCGCGCCAAGCGTTTTGCAGTATGGCTGTAGGTATAGGCAATTGTTGCTGTACACGTGGGTTGCAGTTGCTGGCAGCAAGTGTACCTACTTTTAACCCGATGAGCAGGTAAAAAATAATAGCATGCTAATATAGGCGTAAGTTGTATTTACACGCAAGGATAAAGCCACGCAAACGATGCAGAAAATTCGACATATTTCATGAGCATCTGGAGCCACAAGACCTTTTTTTGTTTTATTGGAAAAATAAACTCCTTTTCATCCCTCTGTAGTTGTCGAATGGTTGCTTGTGTTCTTACACATGTATTGCACGCATATAGGTTTGCGGTAATCGAGTAACAGAGTCATTGCTTTGTATGATACGTATTTGCGATGCGTGAACGAAGCCATTTTTTTTATTGCTCAAAGAAGCGTCCATAAACTACGTTATCAATTTTAAAAGCTTCAATATGTAAAAAAAACTTTTTTCGCTTTCTCCATACTGCTAGCGTTCACTGATTATAAATAATGATGATATTACAAATAAGTACTTTTGTTGTACTTTCCTAGAGAAAAGGAATCCAGTATACATCACTACGGTACTCAAACAAGCGGATCTAGAAAAAAAAACCGGCAAAAATCGGTAACGCAGTCTACATACGCTTCCTGTAATGCGTGTGAGAGAGAGAGAAAGAGAGATGGTTTTTCTTATAAAACACGGTGAACAATGACCCATTGATGCGATAACACACGACCTTACCATTGTGGATCTTGGCAGTGCCATTTGTGAGCTGTTCGAGTTTCAAGTGCTTCTCGAGGTCGTAGGTCACCTTTTGTCTGCGCCTGATCTTCCGTCTCAGGTAAAAATCGTAGCTCGTCCCGACGATCAGCAAGAAGAAAGTAACCGCAGTTACGATACTTGAAAAAAAATAACAAACAAAAAGGCACCAATAGTCGTACTTCCATGTATATATAAGGAGCTGGAAGAGAGAGAGAGAGAGAGAGAGAGAGAGAAAAAACACCAATCAACTCACAAGAGGATCCAAAAAATAGGATCTGTGTAGACGTCGTAGTAGCTGTGCTGGTCGCGGATCTTCTCGACGAAGGAGTACTTGGACGCCTGATCACTGGCCGCGAGTTTGGCGATGACGGCCACGTCGCTCGCGCGGCACGAGAACGGCAGACAGGCGCCCAGGTGCAACGTCCTCGCCTGGAAACAAACAGTTTATATACACCTATGTCCATTTTTTGGCACTACGCTTCAAACAAAAAAGTAAAAATTTTAAATGCCCAAAAAAAAAAAAATGGTAAAAAGTACACGTAAATATGTAAATGCGATCGTACAAAGGCGAGCCATGCAATTTCACGATCTCTGTAATTATAACTCCATTTAGTTAGACGCGGCTCTCTAGAGCACCATAATGTACACTACACTATACGCGTGCACGCGTCTCGAAAGAGTTTCGGCAACGGCTAAACGTAACATTATCCAAAAAATTGACGTACGACAATCATATGACACTTGTACATATTAAACACGCAAACGTGTCTCAGGCGATTTATCATATTGATTTTGGAATAGCACAATAAACTGCGTAATGTACATACAGAGATATAAAAATTCACGTGTAAAGTCATACCAGTGGAAAAACGCTTCCGTTGACAGCGATGCGCATGACAAAGAAGCCGAGGGGGTAGGGCGGCCGGTCGTCGGCGTCGCTGGGTAGACTTGACCGGTAGTTCCCGCTGGGGCTGAAGGCGGCATCGGTGGTGCGCTTCTTGTGCGGCTCGGCGTTGAACTCGGCGGCTTCGCTCACTCGGTCCGGGTCCGGCGCTTGGCCCAAGCCCGACACGCCTTTGCCGATGTACTCGCACTCCGTCGCCGAGCCCACGAAGTACGAGTTGCCCCAGTAGAAGCCGTTCGTGTAACGGCCCGTCGCGTCGTCCACTGAAACCGGCATACAATTATTGCCTTTACAATCGTCACCTCGACTCTTCTACACTATGTAATTGAGTAATCATTCGTTTACAAAAATTTACATTCACGCGGTCGCAGTTTTAATTCAAGATATTCACGTACAATACCTACATTGGCCTCGTTTTGCGTTTACCATTTGTAATTAGATAATATACTTACTGTTGCACAGGGAAACATTTAATTGTCGTATTGTGCTTGGCCAAACAAAAGGGAACAACCACCGGTTATACATTATTCGTTGCCGTTAATCCATAAGTGCAGCGATTTGTATATATGTATATCGTATTGTTTCACGACCTCGAACCCATTGAATGTCGCGAGATTCGCGTTTCTACCGAAAAAGTCACAATCGTGTATTTGCTTTATACTCTTTTCTCTCTATATATTTAGATACCCATCGTGCGTTAGAAGACTATATAATACCACCGACCGTGACCCGTGTGCCCTATATACATGTATATGTTTTTATGGCTGCACACCTGATAAGACAACATTGCTGCAGAGCCGCGATATACAGTCATTTGATCTTGATTTATCGATTGGCGGAGGAGGAGGAGGAGGAGGGAAGAAAAAACTCGTTATTGCCATATAATACGTTGCCCATCAGACAAAACGACGAAATTATACGGCAAATCGAGTTGAGATATACGACAGGAAGTCGACAATAAAACGCTTTCCGTGTATTATGTATATGGCCCGAACGAGCTGTTCGGATTGTTTTTTTTTTCATCGTCACTTGGAGGAGGCCCGTATGCATATATGATGGACAAATTTACAAAATTTATCGGAATTACCATACAGCACTGCGCTGGGGTTATTGGAATATCGGTACTTTCACAAAAACGATCTTCGGTCCCCCGCAACATATTGACGACGATGCCCTCGAAATTAAGCCACCGGACGGATGTGTCCCTGATTCTTCCCACGCGCGTACGTGTAGGTCGGCAATTGTACACGTGTGGGGTAATCGCCGACTTTCTCCTTGTCTTCCGACACTCATCTTCGACACGCCTGATCGACTCATCCTGTATATCTTTACGTACGATCGATTCATTTTTCCGCTCCAATCGAACCACGCGTGTATACCTATACCTGCAGTACTCATCTAAGCGGAAGTGGGGGGGCGGGGGCGATGATCCGTTAATGGAGAAAAGTGGTATTTTCTTTGAGAAAGTTGGGACTTGTTTGCTCGCGTTGTTTCATGATGTTAATTTTTTCCTCACAATTCTCAAACAGATTTGGTGTCGTAGAACGATTTTTTTTTTTTTGTCATTTGATATAGACACACACATTAGAGTTATTATCTCTTACAAATGGCATAAAAAAAAAAAAAAAAACGGTAACTCGACCTTGGCACAGTTTGAATAACATATGTGCAGACGTACCAGCGATCGCGAGTGTGTGTTCGCGAATAATATATGCACACATTTATAGGTACAGTACAACGCGCGTCGATGAAATTTCTTTCGTTCGGTCTGTGACAAAAATGTTTGACCAAACCTTTTGACAACGCGTAATTGCCCCTTTGATAGATAATCTCTTGAAACTTCTCTGAATTGACTTTTACAGTGTCTATTTTACGAGGATGGCCTCCAACTTCATTGCGAAAGATAATAAAAAAAAAAAAAAAACACATACACGTTCTTCGTACCAAATGGTCCATCAAAAGTATCATCTCCAGGACTTGCTCCCAAGATTCCAAACAGATCTATTTGATAGGCGCAAAACGTGTGCCATGCATCTTAGTAAAATACGAAAAGAAGCGAGTCATCAACTTGCGCAACCTTTTTGTGGACTTTCCTTCTTCCGACTCCTCGTGTATACCCTTCGTCGTCGCGCTAATTTTTTTTTCAAAACACCGACCAAACCCACACTTGTATGTCGAGCACATATTCTCTTTTTTTTTTTTTTCTTCGCGTGTCCAAAATTCTTGTTTTCTCCCGTTGTTGCGCTATTTACGCTTAGAGAGGAAGATGTACAGATGCAACGCGTACACCTACAAGTACCTGTAGGCGCGTTCACGTAACGACCAAAGACGAGGAGGGAGTGTTTGTTATTTGCCATTATTGCGTATCGCGGACATTCTCGGATCTTGACAATACAAGAATTTTACTTTACGTAAGGATACGTTATACGTCTGAGTATTAATTTTTACCACCCAATATAATACCGTTTGAAATTTATTTTATGTTTTTTTTTTTTAAGTAATAGTGTACGAAACGGTAAATACAAACGGCACATATATATACGAGTGTATTGGGTTAAAACTTTTACCCACATCTTAATAGATTGACTTATGGATTTTTCATTGAATCCTTCTTGTATAGGTAACATATTTATATACTACTTTTCGAGGCGACGAAAATAACGCAAAAAAGGCACCGGTGATTAACGCAGGCCGTAAATTTTCTCAAATACGATCCGCATGTAAACGACGTTTTGAGAAACAAGTCGCCGCGCCAAACCGCGTCTACATAATCATTACACGCGTGTATACTTTGTGAATTCGGTTTGTAGGTATTACCGTGTGACTACGTTACGTACTTTATGTAATAAAATTACGGCACTTGATACGTCTCGGATACCCATATGTGTACCAATGTTCTCCCGTGTACTGCAATTGTTTGTATATGGCACTGAAAAATCACCGCAATTAAAATATCGCCATATACTCCCGGTGGTACATTAACGCTTATTTACATACAAGTGGGACATTTATACGTACATTTTTTTTCATCCATACAATATACATCCGATTATGTCACGATCGCGCAAGTTATTCAATCAATCAATCGTGTCTTGTATAATAGTCTTTTTTTTTTTTTTCGTATACCCTCTGGTCATCTAAATCTGCAAGCCTTGGACGACCCATCATTCAAAGACTTTCTACTCTCGCGATTATTATCTAATAAAAAAACACGCGCGCAACTCACGGGCACTTTTTTTTTTTCTCTCCATCGAAGCCCCTTTTTTCCGAAGAAAATTGCGTCGGCAATAAAAGTGGCCATTTGCACACAATACCCCGCAGTGCAAAGCGAACACGGAAGCGATGGCCCATCGCACGCGGTGCTCTAGATTCGTCAGTGTTGCACACGAGAAAGAGTACAAGAAAGGCCGCGCTGGACACACGGACTGCGTGCTGTTACTATAATATAGTATACTTATTACTTTGGCCGGGGAGGGGGCAAAAAGGGGGGGTTCCACACACACGTATATAATATAATTCCACCGTAACCCCGTATAGCTATAATAGTAGTAATGGGCGTTGCGCAACTTCTTACACTTTAGATTTATGTAATTCCCCTCGTCCACGCTGATTTTCCATCATGTGCGTGCGATATAGAAAACGAGAGTAGATTTGGGTAAGGGAAACTTTTTTTTTTAATTTTTTTTTTTTAATAATAGTTTTTGCTAAAAATGTAATGCTTTGTTTGTGCTAAAAACATTTTGTTTATTTTTGCCTGGAAATTGTTTGCCCCCTAGCAAAAATATCCTTTACTGCAAGTTGAAAGAAAAAAATTTATCATGCTCTTCAGCTGGTGGGGGAAAAAAACTTGTTTTCGGTGTTTTATTGTGAGTAGTGACGAGTAAATAAAAACAATGTACTGTAGGTATTCGGGGAAAAAAAAAAACACTTTCTATTCAATAAAGTCATTCACAATTCATTAACTAATGATGCCAAAGTCTGAAAACGAGAGTTTTTGACACATACGGTTCAACCCATTGAACAGTATCAAAAATATTAGATACAGAGGGACGGGTTAATGCTTCGCTAGAGGCTTGTTAGTGGCAGCGTCCTCCAAGTACATACACTTGAGATTCGCACCAATTCGATAAGGCTCTATTTTTTCGTCGGAGACACGTGGGAATAAGTATGCGAAAGGTACATATTAACTCCCGCTCATTTGGGATTATGTACCGAGTGAAAGGTCAAATAAGACGTGCGAGAGTGCGACTCTTCGCTTTTTTGTCGCGATTTGAGTGACGCTGAGGAGAATTTTTGGGCCCGAATCCCTTGGGGGATCGGTCCTTTGAGCCCAAAAAGTTGTAATATACATCATCAGCTGTGCTTTATTAAACTAAAGTTCCATGTCGATAGTATTTTTTTATTTTTTGTTATTGTGACTAATTTTATTAGGTATTCGATCGCTCATTCATTAAAGAGACAAAATACGAGTTAATATATATATATATATATACCTGTCGGACGTAACCGATTTTTTCATGAAATATCCCAATTTCGTTACAGAGTAATAAATTGATTGTCTTCGTTGACGATTGTATCATAATGTCAAAGCATATTATTACATCGACGCGTGCTGTGATAACTGAATATACTATATATCAACAAAAATAATCGATAACCACAGCTTCGATATACGTACGTACACCGGTTTATCTAGATCCGTAGGCATATATGTAATATGTAGGTATACTTGGGTTCACTGCCGAGGTTTTTCACTTACCCGTTCATGTGTGTATACATTATACATGTATGCATATCATTTGTAATTGGACGCACGATATATATATACCGATCGAAGTTCAGGGATCTACACCTATACCGCAATGACTCGAGTGTGCTTGCTATTGTAGAGTTTGAAAGAGTCTATTAATATCCTAAATATATATCATCGGTTCGAGGGATGTAAATGTCAATCGTTACACTTTTATTTCGGGGAATGATGTATATACAAGAGATTGTTTTTATTAATTAAACCCGTGATCGTAATAGGTGATCCGATTTCTTTTTTTTTTTTTTTTATTTCGATAAAACTACTTTTACGATCGTTAGTAAAATTACGTTTTTTGAATGTAATAATCTCTTTGTAGAATAGCCACTCGTGCCCCTTGATCGGCATTATACCTGATATATATACTCACTTTCATTTTTTCCACAATAAAGCACTCGTTAAACCGATTATTCAAGTTTACTCTGTATTCGCGACATAATACATGTGAAAAAAAAA